AGTGGCCACAAGAAGCTACTAGAAATACTTTAAAAGGCAGAGATTTACATTTATTTGAAAGCTGCATGGTTTCAAAGGACATCTTAAAATCCATACCTTCGCGGTTCTTTTTTTATCTACTAATTTATAAGTAATACTTGACATTTCTATATGCTTTAAAAAATAACAGAAGGCAAGAAGAATCAGTTTTTGGGGTTGTTTACTTTGTACATCTGACAGCACAGTTTGTGAGTCATTTCTATCCGTTGTGGGGGGAAGGGAGAGGATGAGCATCATTCTGTCAGATGAGAAAGAAGCTATTTCCAAATCATGAGACAAATGATCTGTAAGAGGAGGGTCTCAGAGATGGGCTTGGTGCCCAGATCATTTTAATTACTCACTTTTTGGATTTCCCATACCTTCAAATTGGTGCTGTCTCCTTCAGGTTTCAGTCAGACCCCTCCTCCCTAATAATAAAGATGAGGATGTTTAGATGCAGCTCCTGCCAACTGGGTCTGTTTGTGCCTAGCACCACGAAGGTTCACCTTCATCTGCAGTGCATCTAAGAAAGGCTTAGTTCTTGTCTCACAGAACACCATGGACCTTGGGAAATCCCACAAGCTCCGTCACTGGGGAAGTCGAGCCAGGTCTGTGGGTGAAGGACGTGGCTTCTGACATGGCTCAAGGGGATACTGGCATTAGGGAAAATTCAAACAGATTTGGTACGGATGATTTGAGCCTGTTTGTGTTTAAATCAGTTCACTCACAAGCAGTTTTGGTCTCCCCTGGAGGTGAGGTTTAAAAACTGTGGAGGCATTGCAGACCCTCACACAGCTGGGCTGATTGGAAAGAAAGGGACATTTACAAAAAAGAAAAAATTAATTCCTTGCAGCAGAGGCCCATGGCACTGCTTGATATAATCATCCTTGAAAACAGCTACAGCAAAAGGCTCTGACTCATAATTCACATGGTATTAGGCTTTGACCAACACTGATATTACCTTTCCCTGCCATCCCTCTTCAGATGATGTCTCCCCCTGCAACAAGGATGGCAGGACCCCAATCTTATATACATATATAGCAAATAATTTCATCTCTGTCCTAAAAAATCTTCCAATCTAAATGAAAGGGACAGTCAGTGTAAGGTTTTATATTATTCTGAAATATATAAGAAAGATAGCCACAAGATAACCAAGAGGTATTTAATAGCTCAGGTTCTTAAACCAGTGATGATCATCAGCCCATTAGCCGGACAGGCACCGTCAGAACCAGGCCAAGATGAAGGGAGGCCGCCTGACAAGGAATCAGGATGGAGGTTTCACTACATGTCAAACAGCAGTTTCTATGGCACAGACACAGCTTTACATGAAATTTCATCTCTCACGTGATTGAAGAATTTTGCAGTGGCACATGAATTACCTGTCAAAAATCCCACTGTTGCCTTGTCTTGTTCATTAAGTTTCACTTAGGAGGATAATGTGCAAATCCCAGCACAAAGAACTTTGTGAATTCTGCTCCCCTCAGCTGCTGAAGGAGATGGCCTTTATCTCCCTGTGCAGCTCATGTACCAGCAAGCTCCTATTGCCACCTGCCATTCACATTTTGTGCATCAGGGCCGTGGCTGAACTGCCAGCCTTCAGGTCTGGTCATCTGCTTGAATCACTGCTATGGGGCGTGTTTTTCACAAAGAAATTGAAGTTTGTTTCAATGCAGTTTCCAGGGCATCCGGGGCATTAGTGCACATGTAGGAGGATACCTCACTGACAGCAAAAACTTGAGAGGAAACAGCATATGGGTTCAGTTTGACTTCTGGGGATGAAAAGGATTGGAGGATTGGGAATGTTCATGACCTCCTGCAGTCCTGCTGCCTCTGAAGCACCGTGTCTGTAGTGCAGAGTGTCGTGGGTAGGAGTGACAGCCTCCCTCCTCCTGCCACCTCAGCTCCATATCATACCTGGACTAGCAGAGGCTTCATTTCCACGGGTAAGCTCAGGTTTTGCATCCTTTTACCCATGACTCTTCCACTGCAATGGCCAACAACTGTGCAATTTGCAAGGATGATCTTTTGTGTTATGATTGCCAGTTCATGAGGAAAAGCTACTGAACAGTCAAGAGGTAGGAACCTTACTCGGTTTTCATCAGTAGCCTTCCTGGTGAGAGGCCAGATTAACTATAAGCAGGAACTTCCTTGCTTGGCTGAACACAAGCAACACATAGGACTCATAAAATGGCCATAAAGATTTTTCTAGATGGCATAAAATGGCATTTTTTGTGCCTGCAATGAAGAGTGCCAGAGAGACAGATAACTCTGTGTCGTACAAGACATCCTGCAGAGGCACAGGGGGGTGATGGGCTGAGGACTGTACTCTGCACTCTGTGACATTGTGCACGGCAGTCATTATTTGTCATCATGGGTTAGCACATTCTCCAGAAAGAGCCCAGGCTTTTTTTAGAGAAGTCTCATGCTTGTGATTTGCTTAGTTCTCTAGTGTTGTTACTTGGTCCTCTCTGTTGTTCCCTTGTTAAGGGGCAGAATACCCTCGGCAAGGTGGAGTGCCAATATATTGGCACGGTTCAAATACAAAGAGTATGCAACACTCATTGCACTGAAGAGCTTGTGATCAAAACCACCAAGACAAAGAGTGCAAGCACGGGGAGTATTTGAAATCCTAAGTTATTTCCTTCCCTTTTGTACTTAGCAAATGCAGCTTTAGTCTGGCCACACAGATTTTCCCACCCACCTCTCTTAACAATCTTCTATTTTGAGACAGCAGAAATTACCATGTTCTTACTAGCAAAGAAAGGCCTTCCCTGTAATTTTCTAACCACAACCATATGAAATGAGCCAATTCAGAGCACACTGCCTCTGAGGCATCTTTTTTTTTTTCCCTGATCCCACAATGTACTAGTCACTCTGACACAGAACACAGCATTCTTGTCAGACATCTTCATATTATTGAATAACCTAAGTGACATAGTAAAACAAGGAAAGGACATGTGGTTTTTAGTCAAACACCCTGATTTTTGACTAATGGATTGTGGGAGGGAGATCTCCCCTTTTATCCTGTTCTGTGCTTTGAAGCAGTATAGAACAACTCCAGAGCCTGGGATCTCACAAGATTGTTTTTGTAAGAATCCAGACCACTGACTGCAGACTGATGGGGTGCTGGTAGGGGGCAAGAAGGCTGTTTGGAATGAAATAGGCGTAGTACTACTGCAGCAGCTCACTGGTCCTCACTGGTACCCAGTGGCACTCCGATAATGTAAGTATTTATGGATATCCTGGGCCATCTGGCAGCTGTTCAGTGGCTATGGGGAGGCACCTGACCTTTACAGCAGAGACTGTGACTTTCCAAAGTATAGTGGAGAAAAGGCCATCCAAACAGGCACAGCAGTGATCAGAAGATAGAACAGAGAGAGGACCATAACAGTGATCTCACAGCAGGTCCATGATAGAGATTTATAGATTTAATGCCTATGTGAGGTTGCTACTAAATAAACAAGGTGGGTAGAGTGGAAAATTCACACGCTTTGATGATGTGTGTATGCTCCTGACAATGCTTCCAGTTTCTGAACCAAATTGCATATGAATTCACCAAATAATCTTACCTTTGTGTTCAGAGTGGGGAGTGTCAAATTCATTTAGTCAATGCAACTGCAACTAAAAAGAGCAAAGCAGGAGAGAAACAACAGCAAAAGTGCTGCAGAAGAGAAGCAGAGCCAGGGGCAGGAAGGAGTAGAAGGAAGCAAGGGCACCGGAACACAGGATGTTTCACTTAAACTAGGCTGACTGTGACTGCTTTGGAAGATTGTGCTGGTTTAGGGATGTGACCAGGAAGAAGAGATTCCTCAGCAGCAGCTGCTAGTGAACAGATGCAGGATGTGCTGCACAGGTAGCACACGTCACACGTGACTGATCCATGCACGAGCAGAGCGAGGAGACGCAGAACTGACCGTGTGTGTCCTGCAGCACGAGTCCTGCAGGTCATCTCTTGTGCCCAGGGCTCTCCAGGGAATTCAGAGGCCCACAAAGGGAGGAATTAGAGAGGAAAAATAAAGTGCCAACTTCATGCTGACTTGAGTCGCTATCTCTTGCGGCAGGTGTGTAGCATTTGTGTCTATCCATTATTTGGTGTGTGGGTGGCAATTGTGACATTTCAGGAGCTCAGAGTTTAGCTTCGATGAAGCTGGAGGCCAAAGATCAAAATTAGACTCATCTGGGTGGGATAAGGTTCAGCCTCATCTGATATGTGTGTCTTTCCATAACACCACCTGACAGAGTTATGAAGTTTGTCCTCGCAGTGTTCTCAAGAAGAAATAAGAAATGAAATATTGCTGCAGAGATGGAAAACGAACAGGATGTTTTGAAGGTTTCAGTGACATGGCAGAGAGCATCTAGATTGAAACTGGAGTCATGCAGGAGGCAGAATCTGAGTTTTGTGAAGGATTTAAAGATTTTTAAAGCGATATTTAAAAGGAGACTGCATAATGAAAAATTCTGTATTGATATAAGAAAAGAATAAAGAGAATCTCCCCCGTAAGTTCAAATGTACATTTCAACAGAGCCAGAACATGTCAAGTATATTGTAATATTCTATAAAATCTATCACTGAAAAATTGGAATGAAACAAAAAATTTAGGGTTATTTTCCCTCCCAAAAAATGTCAAAACAAGATTATTCACTCTCTATTTGTCTAAAGCAAAGTTTTAGAAAAATCGATGGTTCCATGGAGCACTCTGGTTCCCCAAGGGAGTGCTCATAATGAAAAACTGTTCCTGTTGAAGGTTCCCACACAGCTCTATTCAGCAGCAGATCAATATTCAAGGCTCTGGTGGCACTGAGTTCTTTCCCCATGGAGCCTCCAGACGAAGCCACTCTCTGTTCAAACATCCTCCCTCAGGCACCTCCTTACTGCTTGCACCAGCTCCTCTCGGGCAGTTTGGAAAGGGTTGTGTCTATCACTCTTCTAACTTCTCTTTGTTTTTTTCCTCCCTCCTTCTCCCCTTCCCGCTCTCCTCCAGGAACCTTCTGCATCATTTCACTGTGCACGTGCGTGGCTGGAATCAACTTTGAGCTCTCCCGCTACCCCCGCTACCTGTACGGACTTCCCGACGACATCAGCCATGGCTATGGCTGGTCCATGTTCTGTGCGTGGGGGGGCCTGGGCCTCACTCTGATCTCTGGCTTCTTCTGCACTCTGGCCCCTTCTGTCCAACCTGTCCCCAGGACCAACTGCCCCAAATCTAGACCTGAGAATGGGACAGTGTGCTAAAGCAAATAGCAAACAAATACACACACACACAGAGACATATATATATATATATGCCTATGTATGCCTATACATGCATATATATGTATATAAAATTATATATATATATAAAATCTCAAATTAATGCCAGTGCCAAGGTAGAGCTGAGTCCAACATGGCACTCACATCTCCACTGGACTCTGTGTTGCTTCATTCTTTCTCACAGTGATGGGAAAGCTTTTCTCTCACGTGGCTCTTCCATCCAACTCTTAACTTCAGCATCATACCTTAGAGATCAAATGAACCTACAGCTGCACCTACCTACTGCCATTTGGGAGGGGGAACAGGGGATCCATGTGGGGAATCTGGAACCAGAATCTGTACAGGACATGGTGGGGGCAGAGGCGTGGGGGGAATGACACAAAAAGCGTGTCCATTGCAGCCAGAAGGGAAAATGCAAAGAGCAAGCAAAGGAACAAATGAAGCATTTGAGCCACTTCAACAACGTACCTCCTCAAGGCCATTATCAGAAACCCACCCAAGTTCTTTTTCTTTCTTAAAACAAAATGACAGAAGCCTGTTGCGTCATTGGTTTTGAGGTTTTGTTGGTTTTTTTTCCTCCTTTCCACAGAAAACAAAATGGACAGAATGTGTGAGGAAACGTAGAAAAGCATTTTCTCTTTGCCTGCCAAACTTTAGAGAGAAGCAAACAAGTGAAAATAATAATTAATAATAATAAACAAACTAAGAAAATAAAAGCAGAAAACAATAAAAATATCCAAGAGGACATCTCAGCGGACTTTCCAACAATGCGGTTTTAATCTTCCAGCTGCCTTACATCCAGGCTTACAACCAAGGCTGAACTGCTAATGCAAATGTGGCAGAAGGCCTTTTGAAAATGCTGTGATACATGTGTGTATAACTTTTTCTTCCCTCTTACTTAATTTATTTTTTTTTTAAGAAAAAGAAAAATTTAAAACATTGCAATGTGATTGTCCACTAAACCATCCATGCTGTGTTTGTGGCCCAAGACTGAGGCACTGCAGCGGCAGAAGCGTGAGGAAAGCCGTCAGGTGTGAGACAGCGCATCTTCTCTGGTGGATTTCAGCAGGTTATTGGTTTTTTGTCACGGAGCTTCTAAGAGTTCAGGATGGTGGATCCAGGGGAAGACTGACCAAGGAGAAGGGAGGTGGGGGGAGGCCTGGTAGCTGTTCTTCCTGGGGATTTGTTGGAATGTGATTTCATCAAGTTACCCACCTGGAGTTTGAGACAACTGGGAAAAAGCCATTGTGGAGGAGGAAAAGGGATTTCTAATTTCTGTAGAAGAGAAGTAAGAGATGCCTCTCATTGTGTTCATGTATGCCAAATAAGACCTTCCCACATCCTGTCTTTGGAAACTGCCCTGGTTCACTGGACATCTCCTCTCTCCATCTGGGAGAACTGTGTACAGATGGACATGAAAGGGTTAGATGCAGAGAACAGAGATCCATTTCCCATGAGCTTAAGTATTGTATGATATAAGTGTGAATCTGCAAATGGAACTCTCTCTCTTTTTTTGGTCTTTCTCTTTTTCCTGCTACTCCTTTTCCTGCTGTCTCCCTTTTCCTTCCCTCTGCTCTTCCCATCGTTCAGGTCATAGATCCCAGAAGAGCTAAACAAACAGCTAAGTCTGGAGAGGTGGGTGAATGCCATTAGGGGAAGACAAGCATTTTGGCTTTGAGGATAGTGGGTCCTTGCAGGGTACCAGTGGCTGAGGGCAAGGTGGGGAAGAAGGGCCAAGGGTGTAGCCAAAGGGACTCTGAAGAAAAATGACTGAATTGCCATGTGCAGGAGTGAGACACCACTGACAAATATGCAGGCAAAGGGAGACAGGGCAAAGAAAAAAGGTCTCCCCAAAACCAGTCCAACCCAACAAGCTCTTAATTCAGGGATAGTACCAGCAATCCTTTATTACATGATAGCTGCATGATATCAGTCCTCATTAGTCAATTAAAAGTCATCCTCTCCATCTAAAATATCACACCAGGAGAAGAAGCCTGTGCCTGCTGCACAGAAATGCAGGCATTAATTTCCAGGTCATACCATTTACACAGCTGGCAAGAAACAGTATTTCTTGGTTTAAAAATATCCAGCTAACAAATAATTCTTACACATGTAGTTGTATGACAATGCTCAAAGAAACAAAGTTTCTAGAGGATATGTTGGAGTAGAGTAGATTTGGGGTTCTTCCATTCTTGCTCAGCTACCTAGCTTTTGTTTTCTGCTGTCTCCAGATTCCCCAAACATGCCAATGCCAGCTGCTAATTCAGTGTGTTCCCACTGAAGTGCCACCCCTGTCAACTGAAGTTTCACAATTTCATTTTCCATTAGATGTGACCATGTGACCAGAGAAATTACTTATTTATTTGAGTTGAAAATATAAGCTTTTTGAATAAGCTTCCTTTTTAAGCAGATTGGGGTTTGGGATTTTTGTTTGCTTTGGGGGATTTTGTTTGTTTGGGTTTTTTGTTTATTTCTTTTTCTGGGAAGGTTTTCAAATAGAATGGTTTCGAAAAGTTTTGAAGTCATTTGACTGTGCAAGTGCCTACTTGGTAAGGAGGTTGATGAATTACCATTGAACAGAAGAAGGAAATTTAAAACAAAGACAGCCTTGGAGAGCTAAATGAAAGCTGAAAAACCAATAAATGGAAACCAAAAATGACCTATAAAAATGATTAATTTCTTCAAAGCATGAAAAATTTTGAAAAAAACAACTTATTGATAAGGAATTATTAGGAAAATTACAGCTGTTTAATTAAAACAGCTTTGAATGAAAACTTTCTTCCTCCTCTGCAGTGCTGAGTGTGATAGGAAAGCTGTTTCACATAAATACAGATAGATATCTGGAGTGACACAGGAAAACCAGAGTCACAGAGGTACCTATCTGGAGTCTACCATCAGGCCCTGTGGCAGGCAGAGCGGTACAGCAGCTCCTGTGATGATGTGTCCTTGTGTGGTCCATCACCGTTCACAGGGTGTATTCTACATATACAGTTTTGAAAGAGGTATAGCAGTAAGATTTAAAGAAATGGAAGTAATTTTGCTGTTTGATGGATTTTCAAAGATTTCCTTTTTTTCTGCAGCTGGCATAAAGCCAGTTTTGCCTTGATGAAGTATTCTCTGATGGTGTTGGTTTACAAGCTGTATATAAGCCTGTGTGTCTGTCTGTGTGTGTGGCAGTGGTGGAAGAGGGTTATGGTTATTTTTTTTTTGCAACAGAAAAGTGTTCACCCTGAATCTTTGGGGCAGTTCTGTGATTTTCCACTTGCTCTAGCATAGTGTATGTAAGGCCTGTGTGGCTATGAAGCATCTTAAAATCTCCATCTGAAGCAGCAGGTGATCATGTCACCTTAATCTCCAGCTGGATCCCCAAAAGGACCCCTTGTCCAAGCACCAATTCTCTCATTATTGCTTTAGGTAAGGGCAGAACCCCTTTGGGAGATTGTGAATTTCCTTCCATGCTTCTCGAAGACCTGGGAGGAGTCCCATGTGCTTCCATACCCCTGAATAGGGGTCAGAGCCCCACCACGCCTTCTGTGTGCTCAGACTTGTCTTTTGAGCAGGGTTGATCCAGAATACATCCAGATACAAATTTGTGATGGTTAGTGTCTCCATCTCTCCTGAGCTGAAGCACACTCACTCAGAAGCTACTCCGAGTTTCTGCATTTTGGGGTAGGCTTTGAAGTATTTTTCCTGAACAGAAATTGAAGCTTTTTTACTAGGGCGTGGTTTCTTAGTTGTAGGAGCAGCTAATTAAAAATCTGTTATCAGTGATCCCAGCATTAAGGGGCTTGACCCTGTCCATCAGATCTGCTCTGGCCAAGTGCCTAAGCAAGTGCTTTACTTGGAGCATGTGACTAATCCCCTTAACTTTGGTTGACTATTCATTTGTTTAAGTCAAGAATGTGCTTTCCTGGATGATATTCAGCTTCCTGCAGAGTCCAGCCCACGCTCTTCTTTTCCAGTCCTTCCCCTGTAGATAAGGTGACACTATCCTAGCCTGAACAACCAGTGTGTTCTTGCTTTCCCTTTCTGTGAAGTGGAAATGCAGGATCCATATTTGGCAGGCTCTTTCCCACATGTAGCCCTTCAGGTTGCACTTCTGGGACAACAAATCTCTATGCTCCAGAGACCACAGAGCCACTGGAGTGCAGTGAAGGCAGATACCCTAAAATGCCCATCCTAAGGATGCAGGATGAATTGGCTGAACCCACTGCCATCTGCAGGCTGAGGTTTTGTGTGTAGTGACTCAGTTGTGTTGCCCTGTGACTGTAAGGAGTCAGCTGCAAGGATTCTGCTGTCCATCCCTGCTGGGATGCTGTACATGTGAAGGGGCTATGTGGCAGCAGCACACTTGCCCTGTATCCTATGTACCCTATAGTGCACCTCCTTCTTCAAGCTAAAGCTGTTTGTGTGTTAAATTTCCTGACCCATATTAGCCACCTGTATATATCATCAATCCCTTCTTCCTCTCTGCAAACACACAACTGATCTTTCCTCATCTAAATAGTACAGTCCCTCCAGTTCTTTTTCTAGTTGGGCTTTTTTTTCTTCTACCACAGGGACAGTCACAAGTGGATCACAAACCACCAGTGACCAGAGCAATTTCTTTGAAATACTGGTTTTGAAAAATTGTCATTACTTTTTAAAATGTTATTCCAGCTGCAATAAAAAATTAAAGGGAAAAAATAGCATCCTCAGACTCCTCTAAACAGAGGATCCTCATCCTCCCAGGAGTGAATTGTGAGAGTGCAGGTATTCTGCTTTCCTGTGGATGCAAGTCATTTGGGACCATTTTTAGCTATGTGCCATTCAGTGGATGGTGAATAAAACAAAGCTGGTGAAGGAGGAGATTGATGTGCAGGGGCTGTCTCAGATTCCCAAGCATTCCTGGAAGACTGTGTCTCCATGGCTGTCCATTTACCCACTGTGCAGTGCCTCTGAATCAGGCTCATCCCTGGAGCCCCACTAATAAGCAGAGCTCAGAAGAAAATCACTGTAATCTGTCCTTAATTCTTGAGCACCACACTAACTGCCAGCAGCGAAATGGAGGGAAAATAATATGTTACCAAGTATAGCTTAAATAAAGACACACATTATTCGGGCTCTTTCTTCTCTGTATCTCTACATAGGCCTCGAAGGGCTACAGGAGTGCTCAGGCACATTCACACAAACAACCACTGCATTTTCTTGCCCCCAAGTTTCTCACCCCTTCGTGGTCCACAGTGCTGTGCTCATCCAGCCAGCAAGGGAAGACTCAGGATGAAAGACTGAGACAGTTCTGAATGATTGCCAGGCACCAACGACAGACAAAGAGTAAAAAATGGGCATGAAACACAAACAGCACATAAAGATTAGTGACAGATAATCTTCTAAGGTCAGGAGCCATCAAAAAAGCCTAAAGCTTGATTGCTAACTCCAGATCCATATAAAATCTAGGTTCTGCCAGTTTAAGGTGAAAACTCAAAAACCAGGGCTTAGCTCAAAACTTATAGTCCATTGTTTCCAGTCATAGCCAGGAATATAAC